AGTTCTTGTTTTCTTTGGTCTTACTATTCTAGCAAAGAGTTGGTGAATTATTCTATATCCAATGCCCTAAAAGAAAATAAAAAAAGCAAAAAAATATGTTTTCATGCCCAAAATTGAAATGCAAAGTACTGATATATAGGACGGCGCGGGCGGCGGCCGAGCAGACCCCGCAAAGCGGACCCGTAAAAATGGATATTCTGTGGCCGTCGTCCGTGCCGGCCCGTAAAGCCGTTTTTCCGCGAACTGTATATGCATTTTTCGGATCGACATTATACGGGGTCTGCTAGAGATGCTCTTATAAAACTTTTAATCAAAATATAATGTAATTCACCGATAAATTTTGATATGAACATTTATTTACAAAATCGCATTATTATGGATAGGCAAATCACAAGTTAATGTACTAGAGTATTTATATCCCGTTGCAACGCACATGCATTGTTCTAGTACATCTAAAACATTTATATATATGTTTAATATTTTTGAAATAAATAATTAACACTTTTTAAAATGTAATTTATAGACTTGAACAAAAATCAGGACAAGTATTTCGAAATGAAGAGATCAAGATACATTTCTTTTGAATTAAACAAATAATTTTTCACATCACATAACATTTTCCAAAAAATTCATGTACATTCTTTTGAAATGCGTGAACATTGGTTAAATGTCATGAACAATTTCTTAATGCTATTAGCATTTTTTTCTAAAAATTACACTTATTTTTTACAATGTGTTAACTTTTGTCAAATTCATAGTGAACATTTAAAAAAAAAAGTAGTACTCCATCTGGTACATATTACTTGTCGCTCAGACGGATGTAACTAGAATATATTTCAATGCCAGATACATCCATTTGATCGACAAGTAATACGAATTGCAGGGAGTACATTATTTATTCAGAATATATGTGTATTTTTTATTATTTGAAAAATATAAAAATAGCAATAAAAACCCAAAAAGCAACAACAGAAATTACTATATATAACAACCAAACTTAAGAAAAATCGGAGCTACGTTAACTACAGTAACTTGTCCCATTTCAAGTTGCCTTGCTGCAAAGCCTTCTTCTATCTTGCTAAAAGCGAGATATGGACACGCAGGGTTTCCTCACACTTTGACCCAGACAAGCTTTGGTCGGCCATGCCCATAGGACAAAGCCGGAGCGACCCCAGGACGACCCAGCCCTGCCCAGTCAGTCCTTTTTAGTAGGCCTTGCAGCCCATTACATAAAAAAGAAAGAAAAAATATATATAAACTACCGCATCTCAAAAGATTTTTCATGTATAACAGCTAGTACACAAAAAAGGAAAAAAATACCATCATATATAAATCATGCATGACAGATTTATAATAAATGTCATGATAAAAAATGTCATCTTCTTATAAATAAAAGGACATCCTCTTATTATAAAAATGGCATCCTTATTATAAAAAAATGACATTCACTTATAATTAAAAAGTTCCATCCTCGTTATAGAAAATGCAATCCTCTTATAATAAAAAAAATACCATCCTCTTTATAAAAAATGTCATCCTCTTTATAAAACAAGCCACCCTCTTTATACAAAACTGCCATGATAAAAATGCCATCCTCTTATCAAGCAAAATGGCATCCTCTCATAGCAAAATTGCTATCTTATAATAAAAATGGCATCATATTGTTAATAACAAATACCATGCGCTTAATAATAAAACTGTTATGCCATAAAATAGAAAATGCCATCTCTCAATAGTAAAAATGCCATCCTCTTTAAAAAAAATCTCATGCTACAAAATATAAAACTGCCATGGGATTTCTGGGATCGAAAAATATATTTGGCATTTTAAACAGAAAAGATTCAAAAATGGCCCTCTCGGTCCAATGATGCTGGCCACCTGCGCACACATAGGATGTCGTGGGTTCGAACTAACGCACACTCACAAAATTTTGGAAGCAAAAAAAAAAACATGCATTAGCCAGAAGAAACTGCACAGCCAAACACTCCAGCGATCCTACATGTATTTTTGAAAAGTGTGTGTATATATATAATATTATGAAGTATAAACAAACTGTAGAAAAGCAAAAGAAAATAAAAACAAAACAGAAAACAGGTAGGTGTATCCACCGCGCGTGGGCGGGCCCAAGTGGCATTTTCCTTCAGCGAGGGGTTCGCTCCTATCTCACTTAGAGGTTGTTTGGATAAGAAGAATATACAAAACCCGATCTCTATAAACTGGGAAACGGCTCTAACAGAATAAAATTTTGTTTGGATCTCCTAACTAACCTGTGGATATAGCAAACTTGGTTCTCCATAACCCAGGATTTTGCGTTTATGGAAAAATGACTATTAGTCGTTTTTGCAAAAACGCGATTAACATATACCTGTTCCTCGGTATCGTTGACCTCAGGTTCATCCTCGTATGCGTTGCCGGCGGGTCGACGAGACGTCGGCTAGCTCCTGCATGTGCTACTACAAGTGCTCAGAGACACAGACGGCGGACACCCAGACTTGATTCGTCGACCGTGTGCTCAAAGGCTGCGGCTGGGTTAGCGGTCGCCGAGCAGGTCCTGCCGCTGCCATAGCTACAGCGCCTCCGGCCGACGAGGCCCAAGATGTTAAGGAGTCCATGAACACAGAGGTCCCTCGATGTGGCAGTCAAGGAGTACGGTTGACACGCATGAAGACACAACCTCTTTCTGGCTCATGGACGTCGTCAACAACGACGTCGAGCTTCCCGGTATGGATGAGGAACGACAAGAGGATGAAATTGATTCCTCGTCGTGGTGAGCTCCATCAGTGGACATGACCAACAACGCCTCGTTGGACTTAGTCGTGCCAGACAACGCCGCCACGACGGGCATTGAGCTTGGCAGCTACTTCGCTTTCAATACGAAAATATGTGGCCGCACCATGCTCGTCTGCCATGTCTGTGTGCTCAGCTTGGCTGCGTCCAGCGCCACATCTGCCTCGTACGGGCGTGCCCCATGGCCCATGCATAGCTGCAACTGCAGCCTGCAAACGAATCATGTGCTCATGTGCTAGGTCTCGCCACCATCGTGCTCGGAGCGGGACGAGAGAAGCGCAGTCCGTAGAAGGCGACCAGCGAAGAGAGGCAACTGCGTACGAGGCAACCCAAACAAAGAATTGCTTAATCTCGTTTTTCTATTTTTTTCCCATCCAAACAAGAAATTATATAGACCTACCGTAACTGAAACAATAGCGAAAACCGGTTTTCCTAAAAATTCTCTAAAACCCCGTTTTCTATAATCTCACAACTAATTCTTAGTATCCAAACAAGGCCTTAATGCGAGACATAGGGCACCCCGCAGAGGTGTGGCGCGCGCAATGCATTAGGCCAACTCGTGAGACCCTATTTGGTCTGTCTCTATCCGTTTGGAACGAAACGGACACAGAACATGGCTCAATAGACGACTGCAAACGGACGAGCGTTCGTTTTTTGTCCGTCCTTGACCCATTTTCTTGGGTCATGTCTGCGTCCAAACGGACAGGGCGCAGACGTACGCGGGTGCTCTCTTTGTCCTCCCTTACCCCGCGCGTCGGTGAAAACCTACCCCTTCCCCTACCATAGCCGTCGCCGCCCATTTTTCGGCCGCTCCGCCGCAGTCCAGGCCGGCTGCCCCATCAACCGCGCCGCATCCACAAAATCCCCCCACCCCATCCTCCCTCTTTCGGAGAAGTTCTTGTCGGCGTTTGTGGGCTTTCTTCGTCGCCGGTGGTACTAGAGAAACCATGGCCGCCAGCGACGTCCATCAACCCCATACCGCCCTTGTCTCCGCTTCTACAGTCATGCTACCTGTATGGGAGGCCGTGGTGCTCTTCATTGGCCGCGTCTCCACCACAACCGCAAGGTGTTCAACACTTCGCTCACAAGATATCATGGATAGTGGGAGCGAGTTCACCAATATCATCATAAAATGCGTGATTAGCATACTCATACGCAGCGTCAAAACGAGCACATGTGCAAACCAGTAGATGCATCCGTTCATTTTCTTTTCGATGTATTTGTGACAATTTAAATTTGAATGTATTCTGCAAAAAAAATTAAATTTGATTGTAGACTTTGTATTTTGTTATCTGGTTGTAAAACTATTTAAAAGAGGCCGGACGGCGCCACAAAATCCGTCAGTTTGGGGTAGCGTAGAATCGTTGGCCAATCATTCGTCCACGGGCAGGTGCTTTTGAACGGTCGTGTGCCGGTCCGGCCCCCGGCACGGCGGGGCCGACAGATTCCACAACGGATCTCGCAGCGGGGCAGATTTCTGAGTCTGGGAAGAAGAACTAGCAGACGATGCACTTGCACGGTTGCATTGCACACCCACCCAGCCTCCGTGCCCCACCGGGCCACCGGGCCCGGTCTGCCGCGCACGCGAGCTGCTCCACCGGAGCAGATTCAGGGCGCGGCTTGAGTGCCAACAGGAAAAAGTCGGCAGCGTGAGTGGCGTCGCCGTGGTGCGCGCGCAGAGGAGCGTCGCCACTTGGGCAACGGCCAGAGCAGAGTGCCACGCACCCGGGCAACGGGGACGCCAAAGCAGGCGGGAGGCCGCTGGAGGTGGTGGGGGCGTAATAATGAATCGGACTGACACGGCTCCTTCTCTCGCTTCCAGCAGCCAAAGGAGTGGGGTTCGTATCCGAACCCGCGTCGAGCAACACAGCGCGCACTCATCATCATCATCACCAACGGCACTCTGTGTCAGTCTCACACTGTCACACACTCTTTCTTTATACGTACACAACGGAAGAAAATTTCTGGGAGGCCAAGGAGCACCACACTGGGCTGGGCGGCAGTGATGACGAGCACCGCTTGGTCGAGACGAGAGCCTGACTGTGTCATCTCCATTGCTTTTTTTTTGAATGTTGGTGTCCGTCTCCATTGCTGTTGCATCGCTATAATGCTACAGTAGTCCTTCATCTCCCCAAAACAAAGCAAAAACTGAAAAGAAAGAAAGCTGGTCCTAGCTATGGAATGTACCGCCACGCCGCCAATGTAAAGAAAGACTATGCTTCCACCTTGCCGGTGATGCCGAGGGTGAAGTATATCAGCACCATCGTCCCCACGCTCGACCTGTCAGGGAGGCACAAACAGACATTGCATGAGAAGGAAACGGGTTAGAGAGCAGCAGCCAACGGTGACTGTAATAAACGAGTTAAAGAGGAGGAGAAAGGCGGGCACAACAGAATGACAAACTCAACAAGGTGGGTGACTTACAAAGTTGCAAAGAAGAGAAGAATTCTGCGCGGATGAAACGCCGTGAGTCGATTAAATCTCTTGGACCTTCCTTCAACAGAGTCAGTCAGAACAGGTGCGGTGGCAGTGCAATGTGGAGTGACCAAAGTTTTGTTGTGCACTAGCGGCAACTTGATCTGCTCCAACTGAGATGGAACAACTGCAGTGAAGAAAATTTCAAATAAATATAAGCACCAGTGGTTATTACTGTCGAATTGCGGCAGCAGTGTTCCGAATCGGAAATTGACTCTGCATATATATGCTTAAAGCAGTAGACAGGTTTGTTTGCCAACCATAAAATTGAAGTACAATTTGTTATATCCTCACAGGATCAATCATCAATACCATACCAGCTAACTGTGAAGTTGCAAAAGGAATTTCGGAAAGCTTTCTCACTTCAGAATGGTACTTTAGAAATTAGGACATTTCCCTTTTTTTCTGGTCTAGATTCAGGTTAATGCTCAAAATATGTATGTGCATGGAGCAAAAGCAGCTAGGATCAAAAGGATCTTGCAATTATGTGTCACAAAGAATAGGATGTATGTAATTATATATTGTATACCAATAAATGCAAAATTGTATAAAATAGTTCCTAAAAACTTAGACCAAAAAAACTGTAGTTTGTCACCTTTAATGATAACTTTTTTTGCCAAGTCATCTGGCTCCTGCTCTTCACCGCCCCTCCTCTCCATGCGGTTTGGACCCTTACGCGACAGGGCTCTCTGCAGGAAAATTATGGCAGGTTAAGACCCTTTCAAATAATTACTGAACCTTCGTGTTCATTATGTAAATTAGAGGACATACAGTCATCTTTGGACTTCCAGTGCAGCATTTATCGGGTTGTTGAGGCAGGCTCTCAATATCCAATACCACATTTCCTGTCCTGTCCATGCTTGTGATCTGGCTCTGCAACAAAAGTCTGATCAATAGAGTGGTATGTACCAAATCTCATTTTATTGGCCATTAAGAGCTTGAAGCATACTAAAAGTACCCCAGCAACCGATATGATTACGGTGTTGAGTACCATCTAATACTGCACTAAATGGAGGGGGTGCACTAACATGCCTGACCTACCACTATCAGTACAATTTCCATGAAAAGAAACCATTAAATTTGCCAAAGCACCACCAGCCTAAATTCATCAAGGCACCAGACCCACGGCACTGCCGTACTGGGCGAACATGATTTCCAAGAAAAACTTTCTGATGTGCCAGCTATGAAAATTTGCCAAAGCACCACCAGCCTAAATTCATCAAGGCACCAGACCCACGGCAGTGCCGTACTGGGCAAACATGATTTCCAAGAAAGGTGATGAGCTGACTCTAAGTAAGAACAATACCCCTACAAAAATAGCAAGCAGATGTGGCGTGTGTACTGACAGTGCTAACCTACAGTAAATCGCCGTCCTAAAAAGCACACCCCAGAAAAGATCAAGCTAGCACAACACACCAACTAGAGACATGAAAAAGGAGGCAGATAATAAATGAGTGAAACCTGAGTGAATCTAAAGGGAGAGTGCAAATGGGCAAGAACCACAACATGCCACCAACCGCTGAGTATTTTATACATCAATCACAAACAACCTATGGGCGGCAAGGGCTACATCGTGCTTGCTTGTGAAACCTACAGCTTTCCAACCGTGCAAGCAAGCAAGCAAGCAAGATCCCCTTTACATGCAATATTTCAAGCAGACAGGACAAGTGCGTGCATACAAAATGCAGGACAGGATCCACATTTGACACATGCTCTGGAGCTAATTAAGACTATTTTGGAGCGGAGCTTTCTTGGCACATTGCAGCCACCGAGAATAAGGTGTGTAAACATAACACTAACAGCAGAAGTGTCACGAGGTGGGTCAGATCTGAGTGAAAGGTACCTTTCAACTGGCTTTCGTGTTCCCCTGGTTGCTTCGAGTCGAGATGGATGTGGATGGACCCTGAGTTCTCTCCAGCCGGGTCTACAACTGGCTTTGTAGTACTTGCGTTCCAAATTTTCCTGCAGGTATGTGCAACAGAAGTTCAATGCCATTTTCCCCGGCCAAGAACTTGAAATGTATGCAGCATTTGCAACAATCAGCAAGAGCCAGAAGGGCCCAATATATTATCCAGGTGAAAAGAAAAGGAGGGCCTGAAACTAGAGATTTCTTTTTGATCCAGTTCACTGAAAGTCTGAAACTAATGAGAAATAAACTGAATCAGCAAGAAAACTGATGCAAATCCAGTTCACTGGTGGAGTGGAGGAACACAAAATTTGATCCTTATTTTCTCGCGGACAGAACAAATAACCCCACAGAATCCCACCCCGCTGTCTAGACTCGAGAGCGTGTACAGAGGAAAACACATGTCTCAACTAATCTTGTACCTAACAATGCAGCCTCCGCATCACCCGTGGGCTCTGATCAACGGCGACTAATAAGAACACCAACCACCTACTACTACTCCTCCAAAATGTCCCTTGGTTTAACCGCCGGCGAGCGAGACTCAGAAATCTCCGTCGGGCCGCCGCAAATCCGAAAGAAAACGCAGGCGGGCAGGAATGGCGTCCAGTCCGGGGAGAGTTTAGGAGGCGAAACCGGAATGAGATTGCGGCGGTGGGGAGAAGATGAAGAGAGCACGCACCTGGTTCTGGTTCTAGTTGGATTCTCCTCGGATTGCTCGGCCGCGAGCTCCTGGCAGGGATCCGGATGACGGCCCTGCTTCTGTTCCGATGGATCGGAGGACGCAGACGCAGTCTGGGGGAGGAGAAGAAGCTGCAGGAGTGGCGGGGATGACGAGCGAGC